GCGGAGGAGGAGGAGGGCGACGCTGGCCTGCCTCTCCGGCCGCGGCGGGGGTATGGCCCAGGGTCTCCTTTGGAAGCCCAGCTGCCTTCCCTGCCTCGCCGCCTTCTCCCAGCCCAAGGTAGAAATAACCGAGGGCACCCGGCTGCAGAGGACAGGAGAATTTTCCTATAGGACAGCTGTTTTGGCTTCCTCGCCAGAGATGAGTTGCTGACTCAGTTTAATATCTGGTGTCTTGAAAGCCTGCTTCATCACAACTCTAAGCTGATACTTGCTGCCAGTGTTTCTATTATCCATAGGCTCCAAATCCAGTAAAGTTGCTGTCTAAGCTTTCTCACAGATCCTCGTGGTAGCACTATTGCTTGGGAAAACGGAGTTCAGGTCTGCTATAACTTTCTCTTTTTCTTTTCAGTGAAGTACTGGCTTGACTGGCAAGAAGACGTCACCCTGTGTAAGCCCAGGCCTCCCCCAGTTCGGAGGACATGGCATCGGGCATTGGATCTCCGTCACCGTGCTCAGGGGGCAGCGATGATGATGAGATGGAGATCCTGTTGAACAACGCTATCCCCCAGCATCCAGGTATGGAGAGCCTGCAGGGCATGCGTGTGAAATGGGGGTAATGCTGGTCTCAAGCTGAATATGTGAAATACATGATGTGCTGGGGAATGTTTTTTCTTTTTTACTACGAGTCACGCATATGTTTTTGATTTTGATATCCGAGTCCTAGGGTTACTTCAAAGTGCGAGGCTCGCAGCTTTGTGTCAGGTGGAGCTGACTTTGTTCCAAGCTGTTGCAGGTTGTTGGGCCTGTGCTTTGGGGAAGTGTAAGGGGTGGAGGCAGAGTGTCCAGTTCTGACAGGGTACCAAAAATGCCTGTGAGTTTTGTGTTTTGTGAATGGGGAGGGGGAAGGGGGGTAGTATGTGAAAAGGCAGGGTGCCTGGCTTTCTTTCATCTGGGAACTCAGACCGGCTGACGTCCAGAGCAAACTGCCCTGGGCTGTTGCGTGACCCACTTTCCTTCATCACCACACCCAATTATTGAGGTTTCTTGTGGTTCTCGCTCCATGCTGCTTGCTCACCTTTACTCTTCTTGTAGTCTTTGTACCTTGCCTTTTCCCTTGTGTTTGCATCCTCATCATTAACATGAGACTTGAGTTAGAGCCCTGGGTACTCTTCTGTTTTGGGGTTTTTGTTGTTGCTGCTGTGGTTGTTGATGACTTGCTCTGTGGACCTACATCTGGATTGTCTGCTTCCTTGTGAAAAGGAATAATGTATATCCTGATGTGCTGGATTGTAATACAAGTTTGAGTTTTCCTACTAACTCATGCTGTAGTGTTGTAGTGTCATATAAGAGAAATGTTGCAACTGGAAAGGGAAAATGGTGTTGTGGGCTCTTTGGTTTTTTGTTTGTTTGGCATTTTTTCTTAAGCTTTGACTCTAGGGTTTTCTGGCACCTCTGAAATCTTAGGCAGAAGGGGACTGTCAGTAAGCCTTGTAAGGAAAATCTTGGTGAAGAAAAACTGTTAAAATCCCTGCAAAGTGGAGAGCTTTAGGTAATACGTTGGAAAGGATGGGACGCTAGAGGCTCTAAATCAGAACTTGGGGGAGAAGAAGAGGTGGGATCCCTGAAGGACCTGGTGTTGCAGGACCGTGGGAGTGAAGAGACATCCGTTGGTTGGGAATATGGCAGGGGCCAGGCGTGGGACCCCAGGTTGAGAGCTTGACCTCTGCCGTTTCACCCCTGGCTGCGGTAGCTCCTCTGACCTGTGGCTTCCTCCATCCTGCCCAGCTCCTGTGGTCAGGAGGCCATTTTCCCTTGGAGGGAGAAGGAGTGACTCTGGCTGTGTGCGGTGGGCGGGGCGGCGGGGGAG